GTAAATAGCAGACGTTTCAAATATAGAATTTCAATGATATCGATACTATATTCATGTGTTTCGACATTAATAATGTTGACTTATTATCAATAACATAGCCATAATTCATTCTTTAAAATAAAAACGAACGTTGGTGCCATAGTAGAATTCATGAATTTTTCTATATGTTTGTTAACTGGTATGAGAAAAATAACACTTGAGGCTCATAAATAAATTCATACCATAATCGTGGAAGCACCCCTTTTGACTTGACATTGCATGTGTTTTGCCGTCCTTTTTCTCCCTTCTTGTTCATATAAATCCCTATCACTTCACACATTTTTTTCCTTGCTAAAGTGATGAGTTGATGAGATTTTATGGAATGCTAGAATTTGTTTAGGAAAGTTTAATTTAACTTGACAAACAAACGATTCCAAATCAACAAGATTCTCTGGTTTACGAAGATCGGAGAGAAAACGTCTATCGTATTGGGTAGCCATTCCATTGCATAAGCTAAAGAGTTTACATCAAAATCTTATGTGTTTCGAAGGAAACCCTCATCATGAACATGCCCTTGAAATGCATGTTCTTGTTATGTGGACAGAGAATTTCCGTTCACGTAATATACCACCTAGATCAATTTCTATTTCTCTCTCTTGATGTGAATTGTAAATCACGCAAACATATAGATATAAATTGAGTTTGACAGCAATGTAACAAGTAAGTTTTTTTCTGCATTAGGCGACCCCATAAAAAATAAAGGCTATGGTGCATAAAGTATTATTTATTAAGATAAGGATTACATTTACAGGGTATTACATGGACCCATTTTCTTGTGCCCTCCATTATCATGCACTTGGCCTTGGAAATCATGATTAAGTTGGTGGTCTTAAAAATAAAAAAAGCTAAAATCTTTTGTCTGCTGGAGTAAGGTAGTACAATTGGAGTTGACATCCTAGTCAGATCTGTGTGTCCTGAGTCGATAAATTCGGAAATCTTGATCATTCAAAAGAGAAAAAAAGATTTGGACCGTTCAAGGGTTTGATTTTGTTAGAAGTTGTCAATGAGATGAACTAAGCATGATTTAAATTGAATGGTCCGAATTTCTGTTTCGTTAGCTTCGAAGACATAGAAATCCGAAGAGAATCTCAATCCACACAATTGGATGGTTTCCATGTTAGGACTGCGTGAGTTGGCAAATCCAAGACTCCAACAAAGTGATCAAATAAAAGTGTGAAACTTTAGTTTCCATGAACTATCTATCATCTTCTTTAACACATCTCCATTGTCCATTACCACAATTAGTATCAAATGTTATATCAAATGTCACATTTTTGTAGTTATGGTAAGTCACATTTGATAGAAAACTATATTATCTTCTTTTCCTTTTTGTATCCCTACCCTAACACGAAAAGACATCCACCCAAAAGAAAACCCAAAAATCTGGCTATAATTTGGGTTCACCAACAAACATTTTCTTGCTAGAAAAAGGGTTTGTATTTGGGTCAACAAAATAAGGGCTCAACCAAAAAGCATAATGCATAGTTTATCCTATAAAAACCCCCCAAAAAATACTTGCAGGTTGTGTACTCTTTTTTTCAAATGAAAAAAGATTAGGCGAGATTAGCTTTTCGGCAATAGTCACGTGCAAGTCACCTATCCTCTCCCGAAGGGTTGATGACCATTACACTAAAAAACTAGCATCGTCTTGGAAAGCTGTTGGCAAAGCTTTTACCATAAACACAGTTCAATGAAAAGTTACAACTAATCAATGCTGTCGCATATAAAGCATCAAACTTTCTTCATAATCTTGATGTTATTTAGGAACAAATGATCTGTCATCCTTCAAAAGACCTAACCCATGAGTGTTTCACTAAATCTCAAAATTGGAATACTGCTTGTTAATCAATATTTGATCACAATCATTTTTTTCTTCAAATAAAGAAGGATTAGACGAGATTAATTTTTCGACAATGGTAGCGTGTGAGGCACCTACCCTCCCTCAAAGGAATAAGGACTATTAAACCCAGAAACTCACCGCCCGTCCCTCCTTGACCAAACTTATTGGTAATAAATAAAAATAAACGAAAAAGATACAAGCAGAGGGACTATGTCAAGATCCGCAAAGACAAAAACGAACAACGAAAACACTAAATAAGGACAAAACGAAATGTCATGGGCATGGATAGAGGCTACAAAATCCGGAATCCTAGACCACCAGTAATAATCATAACTATCCCTAAAAAAAAAGCTAAAGCATTTGCGACATGATTGATTTCTCTATAAATATGTGTACACATAAATCACATTTGTGAAGTCGTCAGAGACAATTCTTCCAATCCACCATAATAAACTACGAGACCACATTAGGAGCCCTATAATACTACATCAAAAGTTATGGTTTGATACATATACAAAAGCTTTTTCTCCTACGTTTACAATTAAGTTACTTATAAATGTATGTCAACTTGTGTTTGACAAGTACAAAAAAATTACTCATAAATTGTAAGGAGCTAATCAGTATTTGACTGAATCAACTCTAAAAAGTTAATAAGATCAGTCATTTCTTGTGACAGGCAACTAATGTAATTCGTCCCCCCTTTAAGCCTACCCCAATGGGTCTAGAAAACCTTGGTTAAGATGTTGGAAGAAGCTATATAAAACTAAAGACATAGCCCCTAAGTGTTCTTAAGCCCTATAAGTTGAAGTGGCTTCGGCCGCAATGTATGTCCTTTTGGGGACACTAGATCCGTTTTGGTGAGCTACCCTTGTCCTAGTTTATGTTTTGCTAACCCTAAGCATGTGATATGCTTCTCAAATTAGGGTTTAATTCATATTTTATTGTGCTAATTAAACTTTAAACATCATTAAACATTTTTTATAATTTAATTTTCTGGCCAGCAAGCGAAGGTACGAGCTGCCTGGAAAATTAGGACCACAACTAGGAGGCAAGAGTGTATAATCTATATGCTTGGACCACATTTTTGGAGTCTGAGCTCTTTCAGCGGCGCAGAAATTAATTAAGAATAATTAAGTATTTGATTTGATTTGATCTATCAAATAATTAAAAAGGGTTCAAGTTATCTGAGCTAAAACTATACAGATGCTTCGGATAAAAGATTCGACTATGAGAATGAGGTTTAGAGAAAAATAAATACATTTTCAGAAAAAATATGAAATACTTGGAAGGTTTGAAATTAATTAAAGACTTGACTTAAAATTGTGTACACTGACGTTTTAAGAACACAGAGCTGATAATATTTGGTGAAATAAAACTTAATTGTTGTTGTTGTTGGGTTCAATTTACATGAGCCAGTGAAATGTGATTTGAAGGCACCTTTATGTTCAATATCAAAACGAATACCTGAAAATCATGGAAATCATGGAAAAAAGAAGTGAAACCTCATCGGCACCACACCACACTTTGGGGACCCTCAAATTGTCACAATCTCAGTTATTATATCTTTAATTTTACTTTTACTTCATACTTTACAATTAAGAAATTTTTGAATCCGACAATGGAATTAGGTCAGCTAACCTTACATATATACCTCGTATATTAATTAGTAGAGCAAGAAACTCAAAGTCGAGGAGATAAATGGGGCAACAGAGTCGTCACAAATAGATGTATATGATCATGCCAAATCATACATGCATTTCGTGTTTAAATCACAGAGTTTTGTATTTATAATCAGAACCGTTTACATTATTATGAATCACATTGCAAATATCACCCTTGCAAAACTTGAAATAAAACTAATGTCATGTAGCTAATATATCGTAGCAAATACATAAACGGTTTGTAATGCCTTTACAAATACATAAACGGTTTGCAAATATTAGCTCGTCACAAATAGATGTATATGACCTTACTTTTAATTGAGTTTTAATCGGAGACGATCTTTATAGATTGATTTATAATATGAACGGTTCTGATCATAAACACGAAGTTGTACTAATCGGCAACAACGAACAATTTTACGTAGAAACTCCTACTCATTCTTTAAGCAGCTAAGTATTTTTCTCAAAAGAAAGACAAGCATGGGCAAACTTTCTGTAAAGTTCAAGAGCATGGTTTATGAAAGCATGTCTGTAAAGTAGATACAAAACTGATTAGGATTAAACATTGCATGTGTATGAAATAGCAGAAAGAGAAGTGATGTGTCATATGGAAATTGGAATCTAATAATTTTACTTAAGGACTTTTAAACAAAGTGTTAATCATTGTTAGCTGTGGGAGGATGCTCATTTGGCCGCAAAGTGAAGAACAAGCTGAGGTTGGGATGGCTTTACATTTACAAAAGGGAATGCCCATCTTCTTCGAATGATGGTCTCTGGCATGTGTTTCTCAGTTGAACTCCATATCGGCTTTTTGGTTTTCAGGAGAATCCAAGAAATAGCTAGGCGAGGAGGAATTCACAAATGGAAAGTTATACCAATGATGAATCCGCTTTTCTTGTCATGCACTCTCGAGTAACTCTGAAGTTGGTGAATGATCGAACTTCGAGAGTTGTCCTTTCCAGGGTGGTGTGGGAACCGAATGGAAATGAACTTTTGGGTGACTGCTGTTATGACATTTCCTAATTGCCAAAGGTTCGGCCTAAAGCCTAGTTTGTGTCATAGCAATCCTGGATTGTATGACAAATTTGAACTCGAATTTAAGGAAGCGGACACACTGCCATGATTAACTAACATTTGTTCTAAGATTATATATATCGATTATCGAATGGTTCGACGTAAATAGGTACAGGAGCCGAAACCCAAATAGCCCATGAGCATGATAGGCCCATTTGTAGCTGGATAATTGAAACTCAAACTGAAACCCGTACAAAGGTGAGCCCAGCCCAATAGAACTATTTGATTCTCGCGCTTCACAATTCAAATTTCAAATCCACACCCCAAAATATAGAACTAATAACGGTCACGAATAGCTGGATCCCACCAAAACCTCTTTTCAAAATTTGAACCCATCCGAATTTCTCGGCTTCATTGCCGTTATAAATTCCCAAATCTCACCCTTCTCACAAATTCAAATCGTCAAATTTGGAACTCCCTCTCTTTCTCTGCAGATCTCTCTCTCTCTCTCTCCTCTCAGTCGAACAAAGAACCCAAAGAAAGAAATCAACTGAAAAATGAGAGAGTGCATCTCCATCCACATCGGCCAGGCTGGAATCCAAGTCGGAAACGCTTGCTGGGAGCTCTACTGCCTCGAACATGGCATCCAGGTCCGTTCTTTTCACATTTCTTCCCCGATTTTGTTTATCTCTCTGTCGTAAATATAATTTGGGATTTTATTTATTTATTTATTTTTGCAGCCTGATGGCCAAATGCCGAGTGACAAGACCGTCGGTGGCGGAGACGACGCCTTCAACACTTTCTTCAGCGAAACTGGAGCCGGAAAGCACGTCCCCCGTGCTGTGTTCTTGGATCTTGAGCCCACCGTCATCGATGAGGTCAGGACCGGCACTTACCGCCAGCTATTCCACCCGGAACAGCTCATCAGCGGCAAGGAAGACGCCGCTAATAACTTCGCCAGAGGCCACTACACAAGTAAGAAACTTTCTCACCACCCCGATTTCAAATTTTAAAATGGTTGATTCTCGTTTGATTTATTGTTTTCGTATTTGAACAGTTGGGAAGGAGATTGTGGATCTCTGTCTTGATAGAATCCGAAAGCTTGCCGACAACTGCACTGGTCTTCAAGGGTTCCTGGTGTTCCACGCTGTTGGAGGTGGGACTGGCTCTGGCCTCGGCTCTCTGCTCCTGGAAAGGCTATCTGTCGATTACGGAAAGAAATCCAAACTCGGGTTCACAGTCTACCCGTCTCCTCAGGTCTCAACCTCTGTCGTTGAGCCATACAACAGCGTGCTGTCCACTCACTCCCTCTTGGAGCACACCGATGTGTCGGTTCTCCTCGACAATGAAGCCATCTACGACATCTGCCGCAGGTCTCTCGACATTGAAAGACCCACTTACACCAACCTCAACAGGCTGGTCTCTCAGGTAAAACAGATTGAACCATTCATTGTGCACTGAAGGTGTTTGATAATTTTCCTGTGTGTGCTGATCGCATTTGATAATTTACTCTTGTGCACTTGAATTGTTTGACAGATTGTTTTCTGTGCGTTTCTTGCTAATGTGGATGAGGAATTGTGTTTTCTGTGCAGGTTATTTCCTCACTCACCGCTTCTCTGCGTTTTGACGGGGCTCTCAACGTGGACGTGACAGGAGTTCCAGACCAATTTGGTCCCCTACCCAAGAATCCACTTCATGCTTTCGTCTTATGCACCTGTGATCTCCGCAGAGAAGGCCTACCACGAGCAGCTCTCCGTGGCAGAAATCACCAACAGCGCCTTTGAGCCAGCGTCTATGATGGCAAAATGTGACCCAAGGCATGGGAAGTACATGGCCTGCTGTTTGATGTACAGGGGAGATGTGGTTCCGAAAGATGTCAACGCAGGCCGTGGCCACAATCAAGACCAAGAGGACAATTCAGTTTGTGGACTGGTGCCCGACTGGGTTCAAGTGCGGCATCAACTACCAGCCTCCTACTGTTGTTCCTGGTGGTGACTTGGCCAAAGTTCAGAGGGCTGTGTGCATGATTTCCAACTCTACTAGTGTTGCCGAAGTGTTTTCGAGGATTGATCACAAGTTTGATCTCATGTACGCCAAGCGCGCTTTCGTGCATTGGTATGTTGGCGAGGGCATGGAGGAAGGAGAGTTTTCCGAGGCTCGGGAGGACTTGGCGGCGCTAGAGAAGGACTATGAGGAAGTTGGGCTTGAGTCTGCTGAAGGTGATGATGGTGAAGATGATGAGTATTAGGTTGTTGTTGGTTTAGGCTAAAAAGCTGTTGTTAATGGGTTCCTGCCAATGGACTCATTGGTTTATTGTTTCTCTTGTTGAAGTTTAGTAGTATTAATGGATGCCTTCTGTTGTCACAACTTGGTCTCGTGACGATGATATTTGGCTTAATTTAACTCCAAACGCTGAAGCACTTTTGCTACAAGTGTTTTTAACAGAAAATCTGAAGATCTAATTAAAGTCCATCATAGTGTTTCCTCTACAATACAACTGTAGTCGGGAATCACTTTTAATTGTCAGAAATCGCTTTTGGCCCTTCATAAGGGGCCCCCGGGAAAGCGGCGATGTGATTTTTGTTTAACTGTACAGCAACGTTCGCAGATCAAACGGCTACAATTTATCCTAGAAAAAAAAAAAACCACAACGATGGAACTTAATTCTAACTCTTCATTTGTCTCCTCGGAATTTTTCATTGCTGCTCTTGCCTTGAAAGCTACCTGTTCTTCTTCCTAAGGAAAAACAATGAAAAGCCCATTAAGATCCAAATAAAGAATATGGGCCAGGCCCAATAACAGGCACAGAGCTGAAGGCCTGAAAAGTTACGTTATGAAAGAGGGGGAAAAAGTTTGAAACCGCCGTTTGGATGCCGAGAAAATTTCTTAATCTCACAACTAATATTGATCTTAACAGAAATTCAGAACTTTCTTTGATCAGATTAGAGGATTTCGAAAAATAATTATTTACTTCTGAAATGAAAATCCACATTTCTGAGGTCCATGAATTTTCCTAGTATCCAAACAGCAGGTAAATTTTCCCAGCATCCAAATAACAGGAATGGTTAAAAGTTCAACCAAACAATTAAAACCACATCCAATAATTGCAGATCAAGATTTGAAAACAATCAAGATTGCCACCAATTCCAGAAATCGGTCAGAATTCAGGGTCTCCAATTCTCTCCTACATAACGAAATCAGAGAAACTAACGCAACAAATTAATCAATCAATTTCAGAAAAATAGAGGAAAAAATTAACAAACCTGAACATCATTAGCAGAGTTATTATTGCGGATTAACAGTTGATTGTGTTCTTGAGAGGCGAGGAAGGCAAGATTGGCCGGGCGAAAAGAACGACGTCAATGCCGTGATAATCTTTTCCAGCTGCAGCGGCAGCACCGATCAGAGCCGTACTCTCGCCAAGATGCGAGTCCTCCTCTCTGATCCTCAAGATCTGGCTGTACAGAACGCACCCCGTCTTCTTCATCGTCCCCCTCCGCCATCGCCCCACCGACCTCGGCGACTCCATCTCCTCCGACGATCCCGCGCTGTCCTCCTCCTGGTCTTCCGTACACGCCTTCTTCTCCTTCGACGATACGGACAGCATGCTCCGCCGGACCTCCTCCATCGTCTCCCGAATCTCGCTCTGGTTCCGGTTCTCCTCCTCCGGCTTGTGACGCAGTGTCATCATGTTGGTTGAAACGGCACGGAACGGATTGCGCAGTGGCGAGAGCTTTGGCTTGGGATCTGAGGTTTTATAGCTTTTATTGCGGGTGGAAACTTATGGGAGCGCGACACGTGGAGAATGATGAGAGAGAAACGATGGCGTCCACGTGGTGGAGTGATGGGACTTGTGGTTATTATAAACTCCCCGACTCGGAAACCACTCTAACGGTTTTCTTAGCTGTAGTCATCTGGATTAGGAGGACGAGGCCGTTCTCCGTTTTGTGAGGAAATCACTTTGGTGACTTGGTTTACACTTATCCAACTCCGATTGTGACGGTATTTTAAATTAACGAGAAAACTCGAACATGATAATTAATTTGTAATTTTACTTTTATGTTCTTATTTTTTAGAGCGAGAATAAATTGACTAGAACAATCGAAAACTTGTTATTGAATAGCCTCAACAACGAAAAACGAGCTTACACCTTCTAGACTCCTAGTACATCATCGTTGTAACAACATGACACGTGTTTGATTTAGAACAGTGCCACACAACACCCACACAAAAGATTTTAGTTGTGTGATAGTGAGATGGAAGATTTTATTGGATAATTAATCACACTAATCAACATTAGGATTTAGTGGTGTGGACGTGGCAGTGGATTAATAGCCAAGTATTTAACTAGGCTAGGGGGATTTAATGGGACAAGTTGCATGCATGGGATTTGAAGGGGACTATTGAGTCAAATTGAAAATTTTAAGAACTTGTTTAGTAAATTGGTTGTGTCAAAATTTGAGATAGATATGATTGGACGTGATAAGTTGTGAATCTACTAGAGAGTGAGTTATTTAACTTATTTTTATGTATGAGTTACAAATCATGTCTTACATGTTCATACCGATTCAATCTTATCCCAAATACCCAATCCGTCTAGCCCACCAAACAGGCACTCAAAGCATGGCCACCCAAGACATTTAAAATAGAAGCGTGGTCAAATGTGTAATTGCAATAAGATTACGACCAGACTAAACATGGGACACGTAGCTAGGGAGTGTTACCTAAATTTGATATTCAAATGCAAACCGTGATGCTTTTGGATTCTGAAAATGTGCACGAGAGAGATGGAAACCCGACTCCATACCTGCTAACGCCAGCTCTCACCATACTGATCGACATCAATAACGCAGTTAGATATAGATCGGATATTTTGATTTCATGTGTTAGTAAACGTATTACTGGTTCTAATTGATCGGATCGGATCCCCAACGATATAGTAAACTAAAACTCAAGAATTTGAACGAGGAAAATAATTTCCACACCCGTATCTCCTTTTCTACAAATCCATGTAAATTTATGACCTTTGAATAGAACAAAATTGAAAAGAATCGGGAGACAAAAATATAACGCAAAAAGACCGAGAAGAGAGTGCCCAAGTAACACAAAATTCATTACTTAAAGAGTATTTAAAGCAAAAATTTGAGTTCTAGTCGCAACAAAACACGAGCAAGAAACGCTTAGTAGCATCCACTACAATACGGACTGTAAAGTCGGTAAAAGAAACTAACGATAAAATTACGGCTCATGATATCAAAACAGTTCCTAAATTGAGAGGCCTCCACTTCATTCTTCTTCCTCTTCGTCGCCATCACCACCAGCAGCTTCTTGGCAGCGGCCTTCTGATTCCTTCTCTTCACTCTTCCGGGGCGCCCACCTCCGAGGGGACTGGTGAGTGAAAAGTCAATGTGCTTCTGGGAGTCAACCCTCACCATGAAAGATGGGATGTTGACCAACTGCCTTCCGACCCTGACAACGAAACAAGGATATTGTACATTAAACACTACAAGCTTTGACATCAAACTTACAACACCGCATACAAGGCATTTCTTAAGATAGAAAAACCCACGAGTCCCACCCTCCAACTCTGCATCCGAAAATGTAGATGAAAAGGAATGTTCATTTCACTATGCTTAATCCGAAGATACCAACCATACCAAGAACAAAAGCGTGGTATGAATGATTTGTGTTAACAATAACATCAGAAAAACCAAGCGAGCAGTTAACCCACTTAGTCACGACAATTAACCTCATAAACCCACACAAATGACCAGACAAGAAGGAATAACCAAGAGAATGGTTAGGAAATGTGACGGTTAATTAACAAAAGACGGGACAATCATTAGCAAATCAAAACAACTTTAAACTAAATTAAGAAACAAGAAGATCAACCATGACGGTACAGAAATTGTTACCTTTATAAATTCACCTGCCAAGTATAGATATGCAACAAACAGATAACACAAACAACATGTTTTGAGCAACAATGTTTATACCTGATGTGCCTTTGCCTGATGAGAACTCTGGCGTGGTGGATGGACTTGGCCATACCACTTTTGAACACAAGGGTTTGAAGACGACGCTCCAAAAAGTTCTCCACAGTCAAAGCCAACACATAATCGAGCTTGTTCTGGCTCTCATCCAGAAGCCCATACCTGTTCATCCTACGAAGAAGAGCCTCACCCTCAAAGATACGGCGAGGATTTTTCTCATCCAGGGTAAGGAGTTCCCTGGCAGCATTACGGATACGACTCAGAGAATACTGAACCCTCCACAGTTCCCTCTTTGCGCGGAGTCCATATTCCCCAACCAGCTTCAGCTCAGCATCCAAACGTTCTTTCTCATAAGGCCGACGTGGCTTCTTGAAAGTCTTCCCATCTGACATCACCCATCAAAATGCATACACATTTCAATACAAATTTTCATTCACCAATATCAAATTGGCAAGAACAAAATCTTAATTCAAACCCTTGCATTTCAATACTCAATACCAAACAGCTTCGTAATTCATGGATTAATAACAACGATAAAAATGTAAACTTTAAGCACCCACCTACGAATTTTTACTAAACTCTTAACTCTTTTGGGGCTTCTTTCTTTCTAATCGAAACACGGCTTCAGCGGCAATAGTTTACAACAAGAATTTCAATACAAATTCTTGAAACAAAACAAGACTGAGCTACACCCAGCATAAACAAAGGCAACATCAAAAGGCCAAAAAAATAAAACTGAATACAAAAAGATTAAAGACACATTTGGGTGCAACGAAATCAACGAAATCAAAGTCAAATGCTGATTAACACAAATGAGTAACTCAAAAAACTGATCAAACTTTAAGGGAATACATAATAAACACAGAAAAAACTAATCAACTATAAAAATTAGAACAGAAAGCAATGAAAATTAACAAACACAGATAAAAAAAAAGATGGATCGAAACCCTAATAGCTCCATAGATATGAGATAGAGAGGGAGATGAGAGGCTTACAGTTGCGGTAATGGACGACGTGCACCATGGCTGGGTAGCCCTAGGTCAGATCCACAATGGAGATTGAGGGAGAGAGGGTGGCTCGCGCTGCCGAGTTCTGAGAGAAGAAGACGAGACAAATGGCACTTTGTTTCGCTTTATACGCAAACCCTAAATTGGCTAAACCCTAAAGGCGCGAACGTAATGACAAGTTTGCCACTGTGTTGGTGATGGGCTTCTGCGTAAAAAGCCCTTTACCTTTGGATTGGACTTTGCCCTTTTCGGGCATGGGCATCGAATTTTGAGCTGCCTACAGTCCAACTGGGCCAACTAAAATCCATTATTTAGAGATTTAGTGGGTGGTGTGTGCAGTCTGGTTTGGATCGGTTTTACTTTAGAATTATGGCCGGATCAATCATGAAGCGGTGCGGTTTGATTTAGTTCGGTAACATGAAGGCGAAGCCAATCCATCCATATGAGTCATGAATCATGAAATCTAAAAATCATTTCATTTTTAATTAAAATTTTAAAACGAATTGGTTATCAAACGAGGTAGTGTTTTATTTTCTGTATCTTTGCATGTACACACCTTTAAAATCTTGTAGTCCTATGAAATGAAAGGCAACAATTTTATATTTAAAAGCATAAACGAAAACAAAAAATTTATTACTTCATGCGACTTATTAAAATCACTAAGCTAACACTCTTAATTATTTAAAAACATATGAACGCACACTGGATCCCACCCCACCTTCAGTCTTTGGCTCCACCTTCCACTTTGGTCGTCGACCACAATATTAAATTGTGGTAATCAATATGAAGAAAAAAATGTTGTGTGCTAAAATCTATGAAATTTGTAGGCGGTTTGATTTTGTTTAGCGGGTTTTCTAAATAGGCAAACATCAAACTATACCAACCTAATCACGAGCAGGTGGTTCATTAGTAAATAACAGATTACGAGACTTTTTATAAGTAAAAACTGGAGGTTTTGGGTTCGAAGCCCGTTGCTAGTGTGAAAGTCATACTCAAGATTAACCACGAGCTGGTGACTTAGTAGTAAATGACGGATTACGAAACTTCCTTAAAACTAGAAACCAGAGGTCTCGGGTTCAAAACCCGTTGCTGGTGTGAAAGTCAGACTTGTGATCAGAGAGAAGCTGAAATGTCTATATTAATTTTTCTGACTCTCAAAAGGAGTTGATAATCATTGTTTGCCACCATTTACCCTCTTAAAAAAAATAAAAAGTAAAAAAAAATAAAAAGACACCATGGTCACGGTCGAGACAGATTTTTTAGCTCAAGTCAAGTGGTGTACACTTTACCCACACATCCGTTACAACTCACAAAAGTTGGATTCTCAAAATTACCCTTCTATTTGCTGTACCAGACGCAAGGGTAGGTGGGGGTTAATGGTCTTTTTAGGCTTCAGAAGGAAGCTAAGGAAGAAAAGAGTTGTTGTCCCGAATTGTCCAAATAAAAGTGCAAGAGCACCGACTTATTTAAAAATAAACTAGTAGAGAGCACATACTTTATGTGTATCTGTGTGAACAATTTCTCTTAATAAGTAAATTTTTTTTTAATATTACATAATTACTGTTTTGTCCTCCTTATGTAAATATTATGTATCAAAAGTAAGGATAAAATTAAAACAATAAGTATAAAAAAAGAGTAAAATAGAAAAAAATAAGGATATAATCGTCATTTTGTCAAAAGGTACAAAATTACTATTTTGCCATTTTTTGTCAATATTATATCAAAAGTGAGGGTAAAATA